TCCCAAGGATTACATTAGCCTCTCCTAGATCTTTCATATCAAACTCAGCATTTAACAATAGCTTTACATTATTCACAGCGTGAATATTCAAGCCAAAAATTAACAAGTCATCCACATATAGACAAATTATAGTGCAAATGTCATTCTCAAATTTTACATATATGCATCTGTCACTACCATTTATCTTAAAACCATGTGAAATGACTAAGTTATCAAATTTTTCATGCCATTGTTTAGGTGCTTGTTTGAGACCATAAAGAGACTTATCTAATTTACATACCAGATGCTCTTTTCCTGGGATGACAAAGCCCTCTGGTTGATCCATGTAGATTTCTTCTTCCAATTCACCATTCAAGAATGCAGTCTTTACATCCATCTGATGTACTACAAGATTAAAAACAGAAGCAAGAGACATTAGCACTCTAATAGAAGTTATTCTAGTTACAGGTGAATAAGTATCAAAGAAATCAACATTCTCCCTTTGTCTGTAGCCTTTAGCTACCAAACGAGCCTTATACTTATCAACGGTCCCATCAACTTTCAGCTTTCTTTTTAGGACCCATTTGTAGCCAATTGTTTTGCAACCTGGTGGCAACTCAGTTAGGTGCCAAGTTCGATTAGACTCAAGTGAGTCCATTTCATCATTTATGGCTTCTTGCCATAAATCTGCATCAACTGAGGCTAAGGCTTCTTGGAGAGTAGAAGGATCCTCCTCTACATTGAGAACTTCAAAGTCCGGGCCAAAGTCTTTTGCTACTCTAGCCCGTTTGCTCCTTCTTAGTTCGGGTTCAGCATTCAAGTCTTGTGAGTTAGACCTGACTACAGGAATAATAGAAGAGGACGAACCCCCACTATTTCTAGACTTGAAAGGAAACCTGTCCTCATAAAAATCAGCATCATTAGATTCAATAATTACTCGTGCATTTAAGTCAAAGAATCTATATTCTTTACTATTAACAGCATAACCAATGAATACACATTCATAAGCTCTACTAGCTAACTTAACTCTTTTAGGATCAGGAATCCTAACATATGCCAGACAACCCCAAGTTCTGAAATAAGAAATATTAGGTTGTTTGTTACGAAGTAATTCATAAGGTGAAACCTTACTCTTAGTCTTTGGAATACGGTTCAAGACATAACAAACAGTGAGAAGAATTTCTCCCCACCAATGATTAGCAGCACCAGAACTTAAGGAAATAGCAACTACTAACTCAGTAAAGGTTCTATTTTTCCTTTCAGCCTTACCATTCATTTCTGGAGAATAAGGAGCTGACCTTTCATGTATGATACCATGTGAATTATAAAACTCTACAAAAGCATCAGTATCATACTCAGTTCCACGATCACTACGTAACCTTTTTATTCGCTTGTTGAACTGATTTTCAAACTTGACACAAAGAACTTAAACATATCAAAAGCATCACTCTTATTTTTCATCAAATAAACACGAGTATAATCAGAACAGTCATCAATAAACGTGATAAAATATCGTTGTCCATTTCTAGTCAACGTTCCATTGAATTCACAAATATCCGAATGAATTAAATCTAACGGTTCTGAGTTTCTAATAACAGACTTATCACATTTATCAAAGTCATTGAGAGAAATATTAGGAATAAGGCCTACATTACTCATATTTTTTATGAGTCTTTTGTTTACATGACAAAGTCTAGCATGCCAAACATTAATAGTAGAACTCAACATATAAGCAGAATCAGAATTCTTATTAATCTCAACATTCAGTTTAAACATGCCATCAGTAGTGTTTAGGGTAAAAAAATACCCTAGCCACGTGGCCCAATGGGCTGACGACACGTGGCACTTCGCCATTGGTCAACAGGGCCCCAATCCCCTGTTGACACGTGTCCTTGGTACCCTCCATGGGGAACTTGTTTGCCCTACTATAAATAGTGGGGCAAACCCCATTAATTGGGTATTCATAAATACAAACACATTTACTGAGCAATATTAATTGCGGAATTCTCCCAATCAGTGAGAAGTATTTTACCTATTCCGTACTCTTTCCCTCCTGTACGTATACTAACTTGATTGTCGGAGGCGAAGCTCCTATCAACCGGAGTCTTCGTGATCTTGCAGGTACAGGCATCCGGCAGCTCAATCTTGGAATTGTAACTCTCCCGCAGGACACATCAAAAAACCCCGAAACATTGGCGGCGTTTGTGGGGAGGGTACTTCTAAGATGACTTCTGTTTCGGGGTTTTTTGATGTGTCCTGCGGGAGAGTTACAATTCCAAGAATGCCCTTCGACGCCTGTGCCTGCAAAATCACGAAGACTCCTGGGGGCAGGAGCTCCGCCTCCGACGATCAAGTTAGTAAAGATACGGGAGGTAGAATGCACGTAATGTGGAAGTTACTTCTCGCGTAATGGGAGAATTCCGCAATTAATATTGCTCGGGGTAAGTGTGTTTCTTTTTGAGGAGTATTCAATGTGATCAACAAATGTTCCAGCCCCCATTAATGAAGGTCCTTCCACTATTTATAGTGGGGAAGGGATGGTTCCCCTTTTAGGGTTTAGAGGACACGTGTCAGCAGAGGATTGGAGCCCTGCTGACCAACGACTGGATGCCACGTGTCACTAGGCCATTGGGCCACGTGTTTAGGGTATTTTTACCCCAAACATTTGCCCCTCACTGGTGCTGACGTGGCAGGGTGCCACGTGGCGCCGGTGAAAGGTTTTTTTTTTTTTTCAACTCTTCAGATTCCTTTTGAAGGATGGAAAAGCAGAAGGCGAAGAGTCACGACTTTTCACCTTCTGGGACAAATTCTATAAATAGGAGAAGATGTCCCCCGAGCTCTCATTTACAAACTTTGCCAAATTTCTGAAGATTTGAGAGCAGCCGGCAATTTGAGAGTTGAGAGCATTCGGAGTTGAGATTCGTTGAGAGCAACCGGTCTACAGACCGTCTGGGTCGTTGCAAGCTAGCCAAAGATTTTCGAGAGGGTAATCAGAGAAACCCAGCCGGATTTTGAACCGCCTGCGTCTTCGCAAGCATCCCAGAGAATTTCCAGAATTTCTTCTAGGTACCGTCTCTATTCTTTCTAGCTTTTTCATGTATTTCCGTTTGAGTCTTTTACTCGCATTTTTGGTCATTGGTCCCATAAGTAGATGGACCCCTTATACCCATACCCGGAACCTAGCTGTGAACTCAGCCGGTTTATTAGTACGGCTGAGTCTAGAACTGGGTCTGCCGCCTCTGTTCTTTGGGACAACCCTTTTTCAACACCCATATCGACCGACTCTGTGTCTGTGCAGGACACAATGGCCAGAATCCGGTCTACTGCCAGAGATCCCAACTACAGAAGTGGGAGCTCAGATGAGCAGCCGCCTGAGGTCCCAGCTTTAGGCGGTGAAATAGAGCATGGAGAGGTAGAGCAGAGAGGCTCACCCGGGGGCGCTCCTAGCACCCCGGGTGATAGCATTTTAAACGAAGAGAGTGCTCCCCTCCAGGAGACCAGAGAGCAGATAGGCTCTGATAAGGAGGTCTCCAACTCCCCAGCCGGCTCTGATGCCGGTCACGTTCAAAGTAGCAGTAGCAGCTACTTAACCGAATCTGAGGATAGCGAGGAGGCGGAGAGGCCTTCCTGGGATAATAGGAACGATCCTCTCATGATCGCCGTCTCCTCCAAGGACCGCGAGCTCATGCGGGCTGCGCTGCCAGATTTTATCAAACGGCGGCCGCTGGGGGGTGACTATACAATAAAGGTCCCGACTGCTCTGGGAACAATATGGTGGGAGGATGGACAACCGAACGCGAACGCTTGGTTCGGGTGCTACGAGGCGGCCTTCGTGGCCGGAGTCCGCTTCCCTCTCCACGACACAATAAGAGCCATACTTAGGGGGTATGGCCTAGGTCTCTGGCAATTAACCCCCAACTCATGGGTAAATATTTTAGGGTATATCGCCGCCTGCGAGATGCAGGGCCTCAACCCCGGCTGGGAGGCGTTTGCCCATATGCATTACTTGAGTAGGAGCCCAGGCGGCTGGAGAGCCTGGTATACCTTGACCACCCAGCCCAAATACCTTATGACCTTAGACAAGCCATCCAAATGGTCGGACTGGAAGCACCGGTTCTACTTGGTTAAGGCCCCAACTACGGCAGAGAACAGAGAATTCCGGATCTACAACCGGAAACCAGAACTCTTGGGGACCAAGTGCTGCCTGCCCCCTGTCCCGGAGGATGATAGAGAGACCATCCTTGACTCCGGGTTTTTTGAGTTAGTTCCTGACACCCTCTCATCCGGAGAGATAGTAAGGGTACCTAGAAACTGGGTGCCCAAACATGAATTTTTTAGGGACGAATGCTTCTTGTCCGCTTGTGGTCTAAGCAGCATGTTTGAAAAACGTATGTATTCGGAACTCAGCCGGTTTCTTTCGAACCGGATGCTTTTATTTCCTTGCTTATTTATTATTCTAACCGTGTGCCTTCCTCTGCAGAAGAAGCCAAGAGAATGCTGCCCACCGAGAAGACGCCGGCTAGGTCAGCTGCCGACATCCGGAAAGCCAATCTCGAGAAAAAAACTTGCTGCCCAGGCGGCGAAGAAGGTATAACTGTCTGATCCTTCTCGTTTATGTCAATCCTTTTATCCCATAACTTATATTTTTCTCGTTTACAGGACGGGAAGCAGATGCCCCGGTCCCTTCAAAAACAGGTCAGGCCTCCGCCGACCCAACAAGAGTCTGCATCCAAGGTGCAGAAGACAGCCGACCGGCAAACTACCGGCGGCAAATCAATAAGGGTCCCAGACGGGCCTGGATCTGCGGATGTACTTTCTGCCATCCCATTGAGGACCGCACCCGGTCCCTCTGAAGGCCGTTCGGGCCGCCAAGGTAACTTCGACCTTAAACTGCTTGATCTGCCCATGCGGGTCAAGTCTTATTCACAGTCTCGATCGCAGCCGGGGGATTCTCCAATCAGCCGGCAATCTATAGGCAGAGCATATGCGAGTTTCTCACCGTCTGTTTCTGGTGCAGATAATTCTCCCCGCTGGCCGGACGGGGCACAATATGCCCGGGCCATGCTGAAAGCCGTCCCCAGGGACGAGAAGGAGGCGATCCCTGGGATCAACTCCTTTAATGCCGACCGGGTGCTGGTCGACCTGGCCGACGTATGCTCCAACAACCATGCGGTAATTTTCTTGACGTGCATTTTTAAGTATGCAGTATTAACCGGCTGTATTTTTGCAGGCTATGCTGCGCGTAGAGGGGCTCAAACGAGCTTATACCCGCAAGTCTGAGGAGGTAAGGAGAAGCAAACGGGCTGTTGATGACGCCCATAATGTTGCTGACTACTCTTTGTACATGCATGGCTTAGAATCTAAATCTATACGCATGGAACAGGCGGAGAAGACCAAAGCCCTCCAACAACAGATTGATCAGCTGAAAAACCAAGTTGACCAACTGCAGGCGTCCCTGGATGATGCCAATAAAAAGTTGGAGGAACAGACAGAGCCCCTCCAACGGCTGAGCAAGGCGGAGACTGAAAATGGCCGCCTTGCCAAAGAGAATGAGCGCCTGCGCAAAGAGGCGGCTGCTGCCAATGAGAACTTCAAGGTCACCTTGGAGTCGGAGCAGGAGAGGCTCATTGAAGAGAATGAGCATGACTGTGCAAACCGGATGCAACGGGCGTTTTCCCTCATCCACCCGGAGGCGGACTTCAGCGTCTGGGAACTCGCCTTCAAATATTCTGATCTTGCCATTCTGGCTGAGGAGGCGAATGAGCCGGGGCCCGGACCCTATGACGCTTGGGTTAGGGAGGAGATTGCGCGACGGCAGGCGGAGGCTGCTGAAGAGGAAGAAGTCGTTCCTGAAGCCGACGTAGCCGCTCACCCTGATCCAACCCAGAACCAACCGGAATAGGACCGGCTCACTGTTCGCCTGGAGTAGCAACTACTTCCCGGCCTGCGTGCCTAGCATTATCTTGTAATAGCGCCGGATGAGATGGGCTAGGCTGTAATAATTTTTATTTTGAATATAAACATTTTCACCGGCTGAGCCGGCTTTTGAATGCTTTTTATGTTTCTGCACTCCAATATTAGAATTCTTGTTATTTTTTATAAATATTTCTGCGAGGATAACCAAAAGAACCCCGCCGGTAACACTACCGCTTGGGTCTGCGCAAACAGCAAAGAAATTTGCAAAGGTTGCCAAGAAGACCCCACCGGTAACTCTGCCGTCTGGGTCTTCACAAACTAGGCGAAGAAATTTGCAAGGGTTGCCAAGAAGACCCCACCGGTAACACTGCCGTCTGGGTCTTCGCAAACTAGGCGAAGAAATTTGCAAGGGTTGCCAAGAAGACCCCACCGGTAACACTGCCGTCTGGGTCTTCGCAAACTAGGCGAAGAAATTTGCAAGGGTTGCCAAGAAGACCCCACCGGTAACACTGCCGTCTGGGTCTTCGCAAACTAGGCGAAGAAATTGGCAAGGGTTGCCAAGAAGACCCCACCGGTAACACTGCCGTCTGGGTCTTCGCAAACTAGGCGAAGAAATTTGCAAGGGTTGCCAAGAAGACCCCACCGGTAACACTGCCGTCTGGGTCTTCGCAAACTAGGCGAAGAAATTTGCAAGGGTTGCCAAGAAGACCCCACCGGTAACACTGCCGTCTGGGTCTTCGCAAACTAGGCGAAGAAATTTGCCAGGGTTGCCAAGAAGACCCCACCGGTAACACTGCCGTCTGGGTCTTCGCAAACTAGGCGAAGAAATTGGCAAGGGTTGCCAAGAAGACCCCACCGGTAACACTTCCGTCTGGGTCTTTGCAAACTAGGCGAAGAAATTTCGACCCAAAACCAAACCGGATGGCGTCTGGGTAATTGCCCCTGGATAGCGGTCTGGGTCTTTGCAAGCCAGGCGACTATCCATATGATATAGCTCGAATATACACTAAGTGCCAACATTAGATTCGGGAGCCAGTCGGTTTATACTGAATTACCGGTCGGGACTTCGCAAAAGAATCACGCCAGATTAGGATGTCCATTCACCGGTTGGGCTTTTGCAAGCATACCCCTGAATGAATTATGGCCTAGACCAAATGCTTAGGCCTGCTCTTAGAGAGTCAGGCGGCGGTACTGAGTACCGGCTGTCCTTCCAAAAAGTGAGCCGGCTGCAAGTTTGGGGTTGCTAGCCTGCCCTTTTTTGGTGCGAAGGATCGTCAGGCGGATTTGACCGCCTGTGTGATCGCTTAGAACAATTTACCACCCAAATGGGAGATGTTCTCTTCGATGAATTCACCCGTAGGGGTGTCACCGGATGATTTTAGGCCTGCTCTTAGAGAGTCAGGCGGATTTGTCCAAAAAGTGAGCCGGCTGCAAGTTTGGGGTTGCTAGCCTGCCCTTTTTTGGTGCGTAGGATCGTCAGGCGGATTTGTCCGCCTGTGTGATCGCTTAGAACAATTTACCACCCAAATGGGAGATGTTCTCTTTGATGAATTCACCCGTATGGGTGTCACCGGATGAAAAAATTAGTTACTGGTGCCGCTTGTGGTAGGCACAAGACATGGCGGCTGTATACAAAATTGAATGTAATTCTCATTAATCATTTGAAATTTTTTAAAAGATGTACAATGCTTAGAAGTAGTATTTTTTGAGGTTATCTACATTCCAAGTTCTAGGCAACTTTCTTCCGTCTGGAGTTTCCAGGCGGTAAGTGCCGTCTCGTACTTCTTCAAAGATCCGGTAGGGTCCCTCCCAATTTGGGGTTAATTTGCCTTGTTCATTGGCCCTACCGGTTGCCTCCATTTTGTGAAGCACAAAATCTCCTTCTTTCAGAGGTCTTTTACGAACCCGCTTGTTGTAGGCTCTAGTTATACGCAGACGGTAGATCTCATGACGCAAGGCAGCATTCCCCCTTCGCTCTGGAAGAGCGTCTAATGCCAACCGCATGGCTTCCCAGTTAGCCTCCTCATCATATAACATAATGCGTAGAGTAGGCTCATAATGTTCAATGGGAAGAACTGCTTCAGTGCCGTATGTCATGAGAAATGGGGTCTCACCGGTTGCCCCCTTTTCGGTTGTCCGGATAGCCCAAAGGACATGAGGTAATTCCTCCGCCCATAGTCCACCGGCTCTTTCTACTTTCTTCTTTATCCCGTCTGAGATCAACTTGTTAAAAGCCTTAACTTGACCGTTTGCCTGAGGACGGCTAACGGATGCAAAACAATGGGAAATTCCTTGGTCTCCCAACCAGGTCTTCAGGACAGGCGTTTCGAACTGCGGTCCGTTGTCGAAAACCATGGACATTGGAACCCCGAACCGGGTGATGACGTTTCTCCAGATGAAAGAAATCACGTCTTTCGTTTTAATCCCTTTTACCGCCTCTGCCTCAACCCATTTGGTGAAGTAGTCTACTGCTACAAGAATGTAGCGGCGGCCGCCTGATGCAGGCGTATAAGGTCCCAAAATGTCCAGGCCCCATTTAGCAAACGGAACCGGACTATGGATTGCCGTGAGTTCTGTTGCCGGTTGATGTATCAACTTAGCGAATTTTTGGCACTTGTCGCATCTCTTTACTAGATCCATGGCATCCGCTTCAAGAGTGGGCCAGAAGTACCCTTGCCGTCTGGTTCTTCTGGCCAGGGACCTGCCGCCAATATGCGAGGCACAAAACCCCGCGTGCAGATCTTCCAAAACTTCTCTCCCCCTATCCGGGGTTACACATTTCAAAAACGGCTGCAGGTATCCCTTCCGAAGGAGTTCCCCTTGATGCATAACAAAACTTGAAGCACGCTTCTTGAGCGCTGATGCTTCTAAAGGGTCATCCGGCAAGGTACCATCCGTCAAAAAGGACCGGATGGGATCCATCCAGGTAGCGGTTCTGTCCAAGACTCCAATGGGATCATTCTGAATACTTCGTTTTTCAATGACTTCCCAAAAGACCGTCCTAGGAGCATCACCGGAGGCTGATGATGCCAACTTTGAGAGGGCATCCGCCTGATTGTTTTCAGACCGGGGCACCTGTCGCAGATGAAATTCATCGAAGGATCCAGCCTCCTCTTTGACTGCCTGCAAATATTTGATCATAGCCGGATGGGTGGCTTCGTAGTCACCAAGGTATTGGCTAACGATCAGCTGTGAATCTGAGCAGGCGTCGACCTTTCTTGCACCGGCTGCCTTACACATGCGCAATCCGGCTAGCAGGGCTTCATACTCTGCCTCATTGTTGGAGGCTTGGAACTTAAACCGTAGTGCATATTCAAACTTATCCCCTTCCGGGGAATGACAGATAACACCTGCACCACAGCCGTTCACCGTAGAGCTGCCGTCTACAAATAACTTCCAGACCTGATCAGGGTTTTCCGGGTGCACCGGCCTAGTCATCTCGACAATAAAGTCGGCAAACGCCTGACCTTTCACTGCCCGCCTGGGTTCAAAAGTTATCTCAAGGCCCTGTATTTCGACAGCCCACTTGATCATTCTACCGGATGACTCTATAGCAGTCATCGTACGCTTGAGCGGCTGATCTGTGTATACCACAACCGGATGTGCCAAAAAGTAAGGCTTCAACCGCTTGACTGCTACGAATAAGGCCAACCCAAATTTTTCGATCATGGGGTACCGGAGCTCAGCATTTTTTAAGACATGGCTGATGAAGTACACCGGCAGCTGAATGCCGTCTCTCTCAGCGAGGAGAACGGCACTAAGGGCGTGATCAGAGACGGCTAGGTACATGTACAGAACCTCCCGGGGTAGGGGGCTCACTAGCCTTGGCAAAGAATGCAAGTGCTGCTTAAGCCTCTGGAATGCCGCCTCTGCTTCTTCACCCCATTCAAACCTTGACCTTTTCCTGATTGCCTGAAAGAAATAGAGGCACTTGTCACCTGACCGGCTGAGGAACCTCCCCAATGCCGCCAGACAACCCGTCAACTTCTGGACTTCTTTTACAGTGCGGGGAGACTTCATGTCAATTACCGCCTGTATTTTGTCCGGATTAGCTTCGATGCCTCTTTGGTCAATCAAGAATCCGAGAAACTTCCCAGACTCAACACCAAATACGCATTTCTTTGGGTTAAGCATGACCCGGTGCCGCCTGAGTGTGGTGAAGGTTTCTCGCAGGTCTGCTAGGTGATCCGTCTGTAGCTTGGATTTGACTATCATGTCATCGATATACGCCTCTACATTCCTGCCAATCTGGTTGATAAAAACGGTGTTTATCATGCGCTGGAATGTAGCCGGTGCATTCTTCAACCCAAACGGCATCACCGTATAGCAGAATAACCCCTGATCAGTGACAAAAGCCGTCTTCTCCTGATCTTTCTTCCAGAGAGGTATTTGATGGAAGCCGGAATAAGCATCCATAAAGCTCATTAACGCATGGCCGGCTGTTGAGTCGACTAGGCTGTCAATCTTTGGAAGCGGGTAGCTATCTTTTGGGCATGCTTTGTTCAGATCTGTGTAATCCACACACATCCGCCAAGTACCGTTCGACTTCTTTACTAGAACGACATTTGCCACCCAATCCGGGTAGTAGCATTGCCTAATGAATCCAGCATCCAACAGCTTTTTGACCTCAGCCGCTGCCGCTTGAGATCTTTCTCCACCATGATCCCTCTTTTTCTGCCTAACCGGCTGCTTTTTGGGATCTACGGCTAGCTTGTGGACAGCAAGATCCGGGCTGACGCCTGGCATCTCTTCCACTTCAAAGGCAAAGATGTCTTTGAATTCCTTCAGCAGCTGGAGCAAACCTTCTCCCAACCGTTCGAAGGCTACCGTCCCGACCTTGACTGTTCTTTCAGGACGGCTGTCATCTAGGATGACATCAAGGCAGTCACCAGCCGGCTGAGGTCGTTGGTCATCTGACCTTTCCCCGGCTAGTGATTGTTATTTCTCCTTTTTGACGGGTGCCAGTTGGTCCGCCTTTCTTTTCATACCGGCTGCCCTTGGAGCCGGGACTGCTGGATCGCAGTTATCAATATCTATGGGCTCGCCCTGGCCGGCTGCACCCACAGTTGTCTTGACGTCAGAGAGATAGCACTCTCTTGCCGTCTTCTGGTCCCCGCTTAGGGCACCGACTGTACCATCATCCTTTTGAAATTTGACCAACATGAGGGACGGGATGATGACAGCCTTAGATGCGTTGAGGGTAGGACGGCCAAATATCATGTTGTAGGCGGACAACTCCTCCACAACTAAAAACTTGACTATCATGTGGCGTCCTTTCCCCTTTTCACCCAGCCAGATCGGAAGATCTATGCTTCCGACCGGATGCACTACTCCACCCCCAAAACCGACTAGTGGGTGAGGAGCCTGGTGCATGTTACCGGATGTGTACTTGAGCTTGGTCAAGCACTGATAACTGATTAGGTCAGACGAGCTCCCGGTGTCTATTAGGATCCGGCCAACCTTCTGGTTGGCAACCTTGCATTCGATGACGATGGGGTCATCATGAGGCCGCCTGACCTTGCCCCGGTCCTTTTCAGAAATAAGGACCTCAGGGAAGATGTCTTTCGACGCCTGGCCCTCATCCATTGAGTTGACCAGCTTCCTGATGTTGTCTTTGGTGCCCCGGATGGTGGGACCCCCTCCGGCAAAACCGCCTGCTATGGTGAAGATGGTCTCTTCATCCGTCTCGGAGTTTACTGGGCCGGTTTTTGCCGCCTGCCCTTTCTTGGCCTGGGCATTACCCTTAGTCTTGGGTAGATAGGATTTTAGGGCCCCCTCATCTGCTAGACGGTCCAATAGCCGCCTGAGGCTATAGCAGCCATTGGTGTCGTGGCCAACATCCTCATGGTATTGGCAATACTTGCTCTTGTCCCGTTTATTCACAGGGCTTTTCATTTCAGCCGGTTTGTCGAGAGACATCCGGTCTTTGATTTCCAGGAGGATGGTGGAGCAATCTTTTGTGAACTCGTATTTGGGGACATATGGTTCTGACTTCCGCCTGATCTTCTGGGCCGGCTGTCCTGATCGGTCAGCTGCCCAGACCCCTTTTCTCTTTTCTTCCTTTCTTGCCGGCTGATGTTGTTGCCGGCTCTCTTTTTTGTCAGTTTTTTTATAATCTGACGGCTGCTTGACAGCACAAAGCTCCGTCGCCTGTATATAGGCTTCAGCTTCAATTAACGCCTCTTGGAGGGTAGCAACCCTCTTCCGGACGAGGTCAAACTTAAAGGTCGACCCATCCTTCAGACCTCGAAAGAAGTCTGTATAGGCCACTTCGTCTGATAGTCCTGGAATCTGAATTCTCATCAGATTGAACCGTCTGACGTATGACCGGAGGCCCTCCCGGTCGCCCTGCTGTATTGCCCCTAGGTCGAGGCTAGTCTTTTTGGCAGGAATATTCATTGAGAAATTTGACGTAAACAAGTACGCCAAAGTTCGAAAGCTGTTGATGCAACCGGCTGGTAGGTTACCAAACCACCGCTGGGCTATGCCCTTGAGGGTAGCCGGGAAGCATCGACACCAGACGGCATCATCTAACCCCTGGAGGTACATGAGGTTAGAGTAGGCCATTAGATGGTCTTCTGGGTTGGTGGTGCCATCATAGGCCCCCACCAAAACATTCTTGATCTTAGGCGGCTGTGCCGCCTGGGTTATCTCTGGTGAGAACGCCGTTGGCTGTTCCCCCAAATTTAGCAG